AGCTTGTTCTAAGTAGGTGCTTTAGACCACTGAGCCATCTCACCAGCCCCTGTATCTACAATATTGTAAGAAAATTTTGTCCATGTCCATTAGGCCAAACTAGTTCACAGGTTTTTTTTTTTTTTTTTTTTTCAAAATTTCCATACTCTTAATGGTGCTTTGTTTGTTTTTTAGAACTGGAATTAAATCCTAGACCTGGCATGTATGCTTAGCTCTACTGGTTATTGTCTTTCTTTGGGCTGGTGCAGTAGAATACTTTAAACTGGGTAATTTATAAACAAAATTTCATCTTTTTAAATGTATCAATCATTTAATTAGGTTCTTAGTAAGATTTTTTTTTTTTTTTTTTTTTTTTGGTGTGGAACCAGGAATTGAACTCAGTTCCTTGCGCTTGCCAAGGAAGCACTTATTCCACTGAGCCATCTCCCCAGCCCCTTTTAGTAAGAAATTTAAAACACTAATTTATGGGGACAAATTCCATTTGTAAGAGCAAAAACGGATCTGAGGTAGCCCCCGAGCTGAGGAACAGCTTTGATTTTTGCTAAAATCTGTGAGTCCACTGCTTTCTGATCTACCTTGTGCTGCTCTGAAATCTGATATCTCTCTTTCTTGGTGTCGAAGATCTCGCCCTCCTGGTGTCTGGGCTTCCGCAGCTTCTTCTTCCTGAAGTAAGTGTCAGAGAGGTATTTGGGGATTTTCACTTTGCTGATATCAATTTTTGTGGAGGTGGCAATGACATATTTCTGGTGTGTTCTTCGTAGAAGAACACAATTAAGGCTAAGAGGCCCAGTCACGAGTAGCAAGCCACTGGCCAGCTGCTTCAGGAAGACCACTCTCTTGCCTCTGTGACGCCCAGTGAGGATGATCATGATGGTGCCGGGAGTGATGGTAGTTGGAAGTTTCCTCACATGCTGACTGAAGGGTTTCTTGTCATGGCTCAAGAGCTTTTGGGGCACATCTCCAGAAGGGTAGTATCTAGGCATTTTTTGAAGCTTAACCACCCAGGTACCTCCATTCTTGTCCCCACCTACTGGTTTTGTGATCAAAGCAAGAACTTTCTCCTTTTTCTTCTCACCCTTTGACTTAACAATTGTGTACTTTCTCTTGTACAAAGCCTTTCTGGAATACATAGCAGATTGGGAATGTCTACCAATTCCTCTAACCAGGACAGGATTTTGGCTGCTGTGAGGCTCCCCCTTCTTGGACTTTTTGGCCTTCACCTTTTGCTTTTTACCAATACCACTGACAGTAGCCTTCTTGACTTCAGATTTCTTCTCTTTAGTGTCTGGCTTCTCAGTTTTTCGCCTGCTATCTTGCAAGATGGGAAGGAAAACTAAGCTTCCAGAAATTCATTTCTTACAGTTCTGGAGACTGGGAAGTCCAAAATCAAAGTGTCACCAGATCTCTTATTCACTGGAGGCTCCACTCTGCTATAAGCACACTTCTTATGGATCCCTGACAAGATAGAGTGGGAAAGAGACAAACACCCCTCTGGAGCCCTTTCACAGGGCGGTGATTCCATTCCTGCAGGTGGAGCTCGAATGACCGGATTATCCCCAGCATCTTCCCGTGGACAATTATGTTTCAGCAAGGATTTGGGAGGAGTACATTCAGACCACAGCAGTTAGTCACAAGTGTCAAACCTTCAACTCTGACCTATACCTGCTTGCTTCTGCTTTAAGTTCTGTCATTCTTTTTTATATTTTAAGCTATAGGGTTTTTTTTTTTGGCAGAACCGGGGATTGAACTCAGGCCCTTGTGCTTACCAGGGAAGCATTTGTTCTACTGAGCCATCTCCCCGGCCTAAGCTATGCTATTTTTAAAAAATCATTTATTTATTTATTTATTTGGTCCAGGGTCTCGCTGCACAGCTCAGACTCGTAGGGATCCTCCTGTCTAAGCCTCCCCAGCGCTGGGATTACAGATGTGCGCCACCATGCCCGGTTTCAGAGGCCTGCATGGTATGCAGTACCCAGTACCAGGGATTGAGCCCGGGTCCCGGTGCTTATCCATCAGGCACTTAGATCGCCAGGTTATCTCCCCAGCCTTAAACTATGTTATTATGAGCATACAAATTTATGTTTTATATTTTTGTTGGCCTATTTATTATGAAATATCAGGGCCAGCCAAATAACTCAGTGGATTAAAGTACCTGCAAGTAGGCGCAGGGCCCAGGGGTTTGATCTTGGGGCCTGCCACCCCACCTCCCAGGGTGCGCTAAGGCAATTGAGACTGGGCATGGTACATAACTGTAATCCCAGCTCTTGGGACTCTGTAAACAGGCAGATCACTACAAGTCCGATCTAGCAGTGAGACCCTGAACAGCACATAGACCCTTTCCTAAAAATACACAAAAAAATAAAATATTATGAAATATCTCTATCTCTAAGAATATTTTTACCTTTAAGTCTCTATATTATTAAAATGTAGAGACATACCAACTCTCTTTTGTAGTTTTTGGTTTTTTTTAATGTATTTAATACAAAGTCTACAGGATCTCACTACACAGATTGGACTTATAGTAATCCTCCTATTTTCAGCCTCCCAAGCGCTGTGGCGCGCCATCACACCCAGTCTCAATCACCATCTTAGCACACCCCAAGGGCAGAGCCAGCATGGCAGGCCAGGGATGGAACCCTTGACCCCTAGCATCTGCCCAAACAGGCGATTTAATCTGCTCTACTAAGGGCCAGCCAAATAGCTCAGTGGATTAAAATGCCTGCAAGCAGGCTCAGTGGCAGGGGTTTGATCCTCAGGCTTGCTGTGCTGGCCCTGCCCCCAGGGTGCGCTGAGATGGCAATTGGACACCCTGTAAACCCTTCCCTAAAATACAAAAAA